TATTTTATTCTATAATTTGTAAGATCATTCAAAGAATTCCGAGAAAACCGTTTGCCTTTAATTCGCTATCGAAAAATGTTGTCTAAATGAAAGCTGCATTGATCGTGGTGCTGATGAAAGAATTCGTGGAACGCGTAAGAGAAATACAACGTTATGCAACCAACGGGGCTTAGCAGCGAATAAAGTGCTTAATACGGGTACTCGAACTGCAAGGCGACCGTTTAATTGGCGCGTGTAGCTTGATCGATCGATTGTAGTTAGGAAACAGCTAAGGGAAGAGAGCGAAAGTTCTGCGATCGATCGCTCGTTTTCCCGTGTGTAACTTTCCGAAGTGACTCGATACGGTGATACATCAATTAAAACTCATTTTAAGTGGGAAGTTAATTTCGTAGGTAATGGGCTCGGGGCATTGGGAATGCTGCTCCCGTGCTTGCATAAGTGTAATGTTTATAAATTAGCTATATGTAGGTGACCTCTAATTACAACGGTATCGAGTGGTAAAGCCCGCGCACGAACTACGTGAGTCATGGCACACATTCAAAGTTGAAACGTACTTCGTATACCGCTGACACGATAGGACAGAACAAACAGGTAAACGCAAATAAAGATTGATCGATCGGTTCGGTGGTAAAGGTAAATATTATTTTTGCTTTTGCGAATTTGGAAAATAATTTATATATTACATTCCATGGGCGACGTATAAGAAACTATGTATATCATTCTGTTTAATTTACAAAAACTTAACTTAAGTATAGCTTGATTTGCTGAACAACAGGTGTTGGTAGAATATTAATATAATATTTATATTTAGAGACATTTTCGACATTTTTTAAGGGTGAACCTTGCGTTTAGGGGAGGCAGCTCCGATGACCTTGACCATGACATATATGTATGTTGTCAAGGGCACCCTCCTGAGTAACATCCAAGAGGTTTTAGACGTCGCTCGTTTTTTTATTAAAAAGTTAGTAGCATGTAAAAATCATAAATTTACATACATATATGTATGCTTATTTCAAATGCAGAGTAATCCTGTATCTATTGAAGCATTCATTAATGATAGTCGAACTTAATTTTAGTCGAAATAATGCAATACACAATTTGCAGCGTAGATGTTTGCACGTAATTATAGCATTAAAGCGGAGACGGGTGTGTATAAATATAAACACGAGATAATTAAAAAGTTGGAAAGTTGGAATGCGTCGATAGTGTCGTAAAATTAGCAAGAATACATGGTGTCAAAGAAATTACGACTATTTTTAGGATCAAAACTCTCTGAAGTATTTGTGGCATTAGAAATTATTCAACGTCTAGACATAAACACCAATTGAGGCGAATCATGATGGAAAATTTTACAAATTTATCGGTTAATATTGTTTTTGAAAGATGTGAAAAATGTTTTTAAAAATTGTTTGGGAGATTTCTGTGTGAAATGAATTAGAAAAATGTCCATAGTTCGCATAATTAAAAGAACCTGATATAAATGCTCTGAAAAAAAAAAATATCCCGCGATACACTTATGTTGAAATACATATTTGTAAAATAGAATTTCAGCTTCCCAGCCCCATCGATTAATGTGGTTCACTGACCTCCGTACAACACAGCTGTCGTGTAACCGTTGTGTTTTATCAATCGATAATTTCGAAAAAAGTCGCGAATGTAGCGAATGTACCAGACCATTGTTTTTACATTAAATGGTAATTATCTTGACAAAAACGAAGTCATCATTATTACACTGCCTTTAAACTCCTACGACTTAATGCTTGGCCAACTAATGCCCCCTCCCCCACCCCCTCAAATTCAAGAAAAATGAAACTCAACATACATAGAATACAATCTCGAATTACTTATTCAGCTTCAACATTAATATGAAACATCAAATAACCTTTTTTTTTTTGTATAACGATAAAATAATCGAGGACGGAAGTCAGCGCGTGCACAATGTAAGAAGAGTTATGTCAAAAGTGTACATAATTTTTTATTTCCCCTCGTACAAAAAATTGTAAAAAAAAAAAAAAGAATGGTAAGAAATATACAATAGTAATAGCACTGCATACATTTTTTGTCTTTAGTAAAATACGGTATGGTTAAACGAGCTTTAGTAGGAGGCAATCTGACGAAAAATAAAGGAAACGGAATGAAATGATTATTTGCTTCATATGTGCCGGATTCTGTCAGGAATGAATCACTGCGTCATTCCATGGAATCGGTCCGGAAATGATAAGAACTTAAGAAGTGTACGATTGCAGTCCTGTGACGATGGAAACGGTTATAACTTGAAGCACCTTTTATTACGTGAGAATCGTCGCTTTATTCCTTTATTTCTCGTCGAATATTCTTGTTTTATAGGTCGTTGAAACTGTCTAGACATCTAATAAGTATCCCATTAAAGTAAAAAAAAACACACAACATTGCATTAAACAAAAAAGAAATCATAATAGAGGCAACGTTGAAATCTTCGTTCACAAAAAATTATGATTGGCATGTTATGGTTATGATGTTATCCTCGATACTCCACGACTTCTACGAATAATGTCCTCGTATATCTCCAAAAATGACGAAGATAATTGAGATGAAGAAAGTTATCGCTTCACCTTGTATAATTGATGTAGAGTAGAAAATATTTTAACGATATTATTGACGTTTCTATTTTAATGTAAGCTTATTTCGAATGTTATATTAATGAAATAAGAGTTCAAAAGTGAACAAATAAAGATGAACGTATGGTTTTGGCAGCCGAGATTCGACTAAAACTGTATTTAATTGGTCACTTTTACATGGTCTTTACAATTGCAATAACTAATACAAGTTTTAATCATACTTATATTTCACCATCAAGTTCAAACAAAAGTGTGCAAATTTTAAATATTGCTTTCTATAATATTTCTCTGTTTACAATGTACAATGTAACAATGAAGACATAAGAGCAGCAAACGAAAATTATTTCAATGAAAAAAAAAATATGTTTAATCGTTTTCTTTTCAATTGTTTTAAACGAATGCGATCTTTCAGTGGTTGTCTGCTATTTAGAAAATTTAAAAATGAATGAGAATATAATCCATTTATTCTCTTTATGGAGGAACTTTTAAAACGATGGAGAGATTCAAATTGGATGAACGAAAATTAATTCAAGTGAACGTTAAACGTATACCTGAACCGAATTAGCGATTAATATTCACTTGAATTAATTTTCATTTAGCCAATTTTAATAGGTACATCTTTTTTAAAAAAAACTCTTCATAAAGAGGATAAGAGTAAATATTGCTTTCTATAATATTTCTCTGTTTACGTATCACCAATTTTTGAGTTTCCCTTTTTTGCACGTGGACCATTCAAAAGCTTCGAGTAGTCTTAAATTTCAGATCGTTGAAACGATTCGAGATATATTGACCGTTTCCGATAGCTCGAGCACGTTCGAGTACTTTCGCATACGCGGATCGCGCGGCACCGAAATCGCTCGGATGCTCAAAGTACTCGAAGAATTTACGTACGAGCCAAAGAGCAGGAAATTTTGAAATGCACTAACACGATCGATAAAATCGATGTTCAAGATCGGTCGCGAGATACGTATCTACGTTGACTGTATCACGAAAGTGCATAGGCAATGCCCCGTTGTGTTTCCATTTACCCCTATTACTTGGGCAAACGAGAATGAGAGTCTCTAGCTCGCCTTGACGCTCCTTACGAATCGATCCATACGCCTGTGCCTCTTCTCTTTATGTATATACGATTATACTTTGCGACAACAAACCACAACGCACATTACGTCCCAATTCCAGCGGATCGAGTTTGACCTCAGCCACTGACACAAATTACACAAGCGAGGGAGAATGTACAGTGTGCGACAAAAAGCGCATCCAACATTCTTTTTTTTTTTTTTTTATGTTTAGAGATAACACACAGTTTGTCCCAAAAATGTCCGAACTTCCATTGAAATCCAGTCTGTACGGGAATAATTATAAATATATATTTATATTATTCCAAATACATTGCTTCTGAAGAAATGCAATTTTTACTATGGCCGTATAGCTTTGTAAAACTCCACTCATAATCTTGTTTCGTGATAGTGGAAACTAAAAATGAAAACTTGTACTTGAAAGAAAATATCTTTTCGATTTCGTGCGAAATGAAATTGAAATTGAAAACTGAATTTACACCTTCGCTTAAAAAGCATTAGAGGGCAATGTATTTTTTTTTTCAGGTGGCGTGGGGTACGGCAGTGATGGAATTGCAGAGCTGGCTGCTCTATCATCTTGTAGCCGTAACCGACTGCAATCAAGGTATACGAGTGTTACCCGTATAACGTTCTGATTCATTTTAATGGACAGCACAACCGTCTGATATCGTGTCACGTTGTCCAATATTTGATTCAATGTTTAATTTCTATGTAACGTTTTATAATTTACGCAAACACCGATTCATCATTTTCTATCCTTGGTTATTTTTAGTTACTTTTGCCTGAGTTTCAACCGTGCTCACAGAACAGTACTTCTTTATTTCATTCACAATCCCGTTATCGCCTAGAGGAAACAGCGATCTACCAATGTTTGATGGTAAGTACCGATCCCACACACGCATACAACCATTACAAATTTTCATGATGATAAGATAGTATCGATATTAATCATCAAAGGTAAGTGTTAGTCAGCAATTCTACAAGTGTTATGAGCATTAAGAGCTTCTTTACTGACTCTTTATATTTAACTACTATTCAGAAGCGTCCAGGAAACCTTTCTATTATGTTTAAGAAAAACCGTGTTTTATGTAAATGATTTTTTAATTTTCTCCTAATTTTATTTAAAATTTGATATCTGTAGACTTATTATTCTGTTACACGAATAACAGAAACCATACATAAAACTTTAATAGTCAATAAAAAAAAAATGTCAACTTGTATGAAATATTTTACCGAATGTTACTATTCGGCCTACAGATTCATTTCTTCAAAAATTATAAAAATCTCTAGAGACAGTACTGTAGAGTTCCTTTCTAACATTAGAGAGATGTAGATCTTACTTTCCTTTTCGTCCCCTTATGTATTCTACTGCTGACTGGTGCCTTTGCACCTAACAAAAGGACTATTATTCGACCGATATCTCACCAAGCAGATGCGTACAGCGTGCCCAACTTTTTTTCAGTGATGCAGTCGGCGACTACATTGAACGGTGGATCTTATCCCGCCGGAGGCACCGGAAGTCGTGCCCGCGATTTAGGCCTGCGGGCGCAGAAGAAACTCCTCGGCAGAGTAGTATCCACAGGAGCTGGAAGATCGCTTCTGATAGACGATGCCACCACTTCGCTTTTAGACAATCTTTACAAGCTCATGGAGAGAGCTGCTAAAGCCAATTCCAATTTGGACAAAAAGCAGCCTGAAAAAGTGTTGAAAAACATCGTTAAGTTGTCCATTAAGGTATCTACCATGTCAAAGCTGATAAAGACATTTTCGATCGGACTGTTAATAACAAAGTAATCGCCATTTATCACTATTCGTGATTCACCCCGTATAATACATGTATTAAAAAGTAGATGATAGATAAAAATATATATAAAAATCTAAAAACAAGTAATAACGATAGTACAAAATATACATGTGCATTACTTTTTGAGTAATATTAGGTTGTCCCAAAAGTTTCTTTGAATATTTTATGTTTTATGTTACATTACAAAATTGTGTACAATTCATTTCGCTCCGGTACTGTTACAGCATTAATGTCTAAGAAATTAGGTTGTCTATTTGTATAAACACTGCCACAGAAAATAATTGAATGCAACTCACGAAAGGAACTCTTAGGACAACCTAATATATCGAATTCTACTGGAACCGGGATATACTATAATCTTTAATAATATTTAAACGTACTTTCAAATATTATCAAAAATTGTAAAAATTGTTGCTTGTACGGCCGTCGAAAGAGCAGTGTTACCATTTTCAATAAAATACAAATATTGAATTAACAATGGGGAAAAGACTGCACGACTGAACGTTTGCATGCTACGCTGTAGACGTAGGAGTATAATAGCAATGTATGTGTTCAGAGACAACAGATAGAGCGTAGGATAGTCAAACGATGTACAGTATGAAGATAAGTTCTCGGTAACTTTGAGTGGCCAATTGATTTTAATCTGACTGCAGGCTTAAGAAGAAGAAATTGGTGGTCAGGATAACTCAATTGGTTAAAACAATGCAGTCCACAAGTGAAGCCCCTTACTTTCACTACCTCCACGTGCCGTACTGCATGATGTGCGAACATGCAACGCGACATTACTATCATAGCATTCGTATAGTATACATGAATGAGAGATAAAGTGTGAGAATCTTCAGATCTTAGGAGAGTTCATAGATACTCAAAATTATCATTTAAATCAACGTTTTATAAACCAAGAAACGTAATGAAATATTTAATGGGAATAACTTATACGTCTCTGTCTATATTGATAGATTTGTCATTGGAGTTTATCAACTGGAAAAATATATTTTTCTTTTAGATATTTTTTTTTTATATATCACATTACTTGTAATGCATATATTAGTAAATATAATATACTTATTAGTGCAAGATTAGTTTTGCGAGCGTGTAATTTAGTCGAAGGTTTTCATTAAATTATTTTTTATATTCAATGGGTACAAAATTTAATAAATAAGGATCTATCTTAAAAATCTAAAGAAAAATTTGAAATAACGAATAGAGAATAAACAATTTTTTATTCGTGATTCATTGAATAAAAATGGAAGCTCGAATTGTATAATGAAAATGTTTCATAATGAACAAACAAAAATTGATTTGTTCAATTGAATAAATATCGCGAATAAATCGCTATACGTTACTTTCCTTCGTTACCTATTATTCGATCTCTGCCTTGAGGCTGGACCAGTGTTATCTAAATCTAACACGAGCTTTAGAGGCTTAGGAAGCTTCCCTCGCACTATCTATCTCTGTCAGCATGATACAGGAATGTTGCTCGATGCCATGCTATGTGTGAGCATTCTACACAAACTCAATTCAGAGCGTAGAGGGAATCAGAACCGCGCAAGGGGCTTCGCTCGTGGACAGCAGTGGACTGAAAACCTTCGATCCGATCAACCGATTTTCCCCTTCCGATAAACACAGTTATCATAATTTCCATCTTCCCATATACCAAATAAATAAAACAACAGTGTAACAACAATTTACCTTCGTTAAACGTTAAACATATCGATCCTGGTATTGGATGACCTTCGGGTGACCTTCAAATCTTCAAAGTACCTCCACCTGTAAAAAAAAAACCATTGTCGCCACATTATATGTACATTTTATAGCTAATTAGTTCTTGTTCAAATACATACTACATTTTTTAAAAATTATGACCATATATACTCCCTACATGGTACAAAAGTTGTGTATATTCATGAAAATTTAAACATCTCTCTATTACTATCCTGAAGTAGTTTCTCTTATATATTTTATATAATATTAAATTATATTCTGTTTCCTTAAAAATGATAAAGATTACTTGGTATTTCATAAATTGTTACCGAAGATGGTCCAATATTAGACTCAATCGTTCAACGCTCAATAAACTCAAGTAAACATCGCTACCAGTTTTCCCATATATGTACGTTGAATGTGTTTTCTTTTTTACAGGTAGGACTACTACAACGTAACCAGCAATTAAACGTTACCGACGACGCGAAGCTAGTCGAAATAAGGAATGCTCTGAGAGCCGTGGCGATGTCCGTGGTTTCCTTTTACGAATTGGAGTTCAGTTTCGATAAGGCATACTTAATCAAGTCGCTGGAGCGTTGCAGAACAGCGATACAAACGCTCATAAAGCCACATCTTACGGACAAGTCGCAGGACCGGTGTGATCAGGTGTTCGACTTTTTAACGCATTCCGACTTTTTGGACTCCGTTTTCAGACAAGACTCTGAACTCAGACCTATCCTAGGAATGCTAGTCAGTGATATCAATAAGGCCTTAGATGCTGGGCATCTTTGATTTTTTCTTTCTTTTGTTAATATAACATCGTTTTCGTGATCGCTGTGAAAAGCATCGACGAAACTGATACACTTGCTGATACGTTTTTTAAAATTAAGAGGGGGACAAAGGGATTCTTTCCCCGATCACAGTTTGAAGAAAGAAATCATGGTGCAGTTACTTATGATTGTCTGTAAAAGAAAACATAACGAGGGTAGTGCTCACTGATGTATGCAATAATTGTGAAATACTCTATTTATTTTCAGAATGTATATTGTATAATTGATGTATATTTATTTACGGTACTCGTGTGTTAGGACACCAACTGTCAATCTATACCAAAAAGAAAAATGAGCTTATTTACGCCCGACAATGGGCTTTATAGCGACGGCAGTAGAAATGATTCGTTCATCCCGACAGAATTAACGCGTGAAAGAAGCAATTTATCACCGTAGAGATCACGCCAATTGAGATACGTGCTACGAACAAATCCTTTTTGAAAGTTTAATCTTCCACTCGTCAAGAGCTATATCCTGACATATCGACGAGTGCATTTTAGGGCAAGATGGGTCCTTCGTTTATACCTATATCGCGCTTCGATACATTTTCGACACACTTACATTATAAACACGACATATCTAATGTAGTCATGGCTAAGCCTCAATACTTGGATTGAAAACATTTACATCACATGTACTACAAGTATATCGCGATTTATGCGTGTTTTCTATGCATTATACACACTTTACACGTTATGTGTGATGACTCTCAATGAGAAAAAAAATGTTGTATCAATATACTATTAATAAATTATTTGTAAGGAGACAAACAATCCCTTTTCTTTCAGTATTACTCCTTGCTACTTTCTTCTATTTCTTTAGATAAAATGATTAATAAATGCAGTTTCAATCAATGATTTGGTATATTTATGTACACAGATTATGTAGCACAATCGCACGGACACACACGCACACGCACACAATTACAATATTATCAGCACAGCTGTATTCACTGTCCAAGCAGCACTGTGTATAAGAGATATTTAATATTCGGTATATCAAATAAAAATACAGAAATTATTTACTTTCACGTTATAATTAATTTAGTAAAATGTTGCATATATTTGGTTAAATTCAACTGTTACAACATTTTAACAGAACACAATGAAAAACGAGCCGTTTCTAACAATCCAAACACAATGTAAATTTTGAAATCTAAAAGTACTCAAAAAAACAGTCTATATAATTTCCCTCTATCTTTAACATGGATGATAAATACTTTTTTTAAATAACACTTTGTCATAGATATAATGAGAACACAAACACAGGGACTAATGTGTAACAAACTTAACTATACTTCAATAGTACAAAGAAAATAAAATATACGCATAATATAAGGACAAATATTTCGAACTCATCCTACAATAATTTGTCATGAATTTTCTAATATTCTTATGTTAAACATAAATATAATATAAAAGAACATTTCCTGGCACAGTGATGCAACTATTATAATTGTACAAAATTGTTATATAACTTATACATATATTTAAGTATAAAAATTATTTATTTATACTTTTCATATTGTATTAATTGAGTTGAAATATACGATGCATAGATTTTCTTGTTTTAATGATGTTAGCATAAAAATTAGAATGTTTTAGTATGGATATTGTATTAAACGTATGCCGAAGACAGCTACTCAATATTGTTAAGGTGTTTTGTATGAAAACGAAGAACTTCAAATGAATTAAATTTAATGATTATTGTTAAAGTTTATGTATTTCCATAAAATACCAAAAATGCGTAAAATTATTATAAAACAAAATTACTGATACTTTGTAATATTTTTTTGTAGCGTTCATAATAAAAGTACATGCGATAGTCAAAGTTAAAATGCGTTCCATGTAATCGGTCATTATGCTCGATCACAAACATATTTATAGTCTATTCATGATTTTGTAGATACAACACACATTTTTACCTATTATGTAATCTAGTGACTTTATGAGTATATGCTAACAATTTATAATCTGTTGATATATAAACATACAGAATTTATTTTGTTATCATATATTCATTGGAATTTTGATAATCCAGTTACATATTTTTTTCATGCCAACAATTCTTCTGTCCATTAAAATGTTTTATGCTAAGTATTGAAAATGTACTTGCACCATTACTGCATCAACAAATTTATTGTATACAACAAATTTAGTGTATAAGACTTTATCGCTCAAATACACCCAAAACGCAAGCATAATTAATTCTTTTATTCCAATACGAACTTGAGCAATTAAACTTGAAAATAATCGCACGCTATTAATGTCACCGGTTAATACCTCACTTAATGAAGATACATTTATTAAAACAAATTTTCTCAATTGCATACAGCAAACACATTTATACAATCACAGGTCGCATATATCATTATTCCTTATCATAAATGCACACGGCTTACATTTATAATACTTTAACATTGTACAAGTTCTATAATGTATGGGTAATGATTCCGATCAAACTTGAGCAGCTATAATTTAAAATATCTGCATTGTAACTGTATACGTTCCAAGTGCCGATTCTTACAATAAGTATATTTAATTAGCGTATGATAATATCAACAAAAGCATGCTTCTTAGGAAAATTAATATTTGAAAAATAATAGACTGTACATGTCTTCAATGTTTAATTTAACAAAATATTAATAGTTGCCGTGCATATTTGAAATACATTACTTCATAGTTCATACATTGACCAAAGTTTCATGTACTTTGATATTTTACTATATAATACAGAAATAGATGGTAAAAGATTTCTTCGCCTAAAATAAGTTTACACATGAAATACTCATTGTATATTGATTTTTTTTCAGGCCAGTATTAAAATTTTAACTTTATAAATTGTATTTAATAAAACTTAATGTTCATTGCAATAGTATTCGTTGATTACTTCTAGAAATTGTTATCCCTGATAAGATAGATGTAGATATACAATGCAGAATATAAAAATCACTTTAAAAATCACACTGTATGCAGATAATATAAAGATTCAAATTAGCAACCATAATTTATAAAATAACTTTTTTTAGAGTTATTTTTATTATATTCTAAGAGAGATCCTCATTCAATAGTTAAATTTCAGTATATAATAGCTAGTACTAGCTCACAATTTTATGTCACATAATGAATAAAATTATCATGTTTATAATAAACTGGTGATGTAAAATCATAAAATTGTTTACCAAGTACTCGTTTTAAATACAGAATTACAATTTTGTTTTCTATTATACTAATAGTATGTATAAATATGCTAATGATTCCTTATAATTAGTGAAATGAAACTATAAAATGAATATTACCTTTGGGGTTGTACATGCGATTGAAACGATGAATGCGTGGTTCAATTATTGTAACTTTTTTTGCTTATTCTTTGAGATAATCGAGGTACATACACCTTAAAAAATAATTTTCCTACTATTCTTTTTTACTCTCTTGTGTACTTGTCAAATATAAGAACATTTGAACTGCTTATAAATTAGATTTGAAAATGTTTACTGGCCAACCAAAATAAAACAATTTTACTCACTTAGCTTGGAATCATACCTTCCAGATTACTGCAAGCCAAGAATGATGCTCTGCATTCAACTTTTAATATCATAGCAATGTTTTCCGAATGTTTTGAAAATTACCATGTATTCCAAAACTATTCAGTAATATACTGTATATTTCTTTATCTAATATAATTGCAGAATTATATTAAATTTGATTCCTTCATCACAGTATTTATTCGATTGCTATTAAAAAATATCAATAGTCTTATGCAGATTTAAGTAGATGGTTATGGTCTGTACAATCATAGATTAAATACCAAGTTAAGTGGTCAGTTCATTCTGTATATAATAAAATATAAAATTTTATTATGTTAAAAGTATGAACACACAAGAGAAAAAGAAAACATTCTAAAATTTTGAAAATAGGTGTATATGTACCTCTCCAGATAAAATCTCAATAATATTTATGTAAATGTACAACTTATAATTACTTACGTAAAAATCGATGCTATTCTTTACTTGATTACAATTAACTTTATTGCCATAATCCTGCGTAGTTACCATAAAGATTTACGGGAAGAGGTCCACCTGCTGTAAATAGCCGCGTTCCTGATCCATCATAGCAATGAGTATATATAGCTGGCGTATATTTCACGTTTTGGAATCCGTCAATATATTCTTCATCTGGAAACTAATGTTAACCCGCAAATAAGTATCATGTTATCCTATAAATTACAAAGTTAAATTTAAATTGAACAAAATTTAAAACATACCACGTATCCTTTTGAAGCTTTCAGTACAACGGTTCTATTAGAATTAATCGAAGACTCAAGATATTTTTGAGCTCTAACATCGTAAAACATCAGCATTCCTAAGCCTGTGCCAATTGTTAAAACAGAACCTTGAAAACTAGCTGATCGAATTCCACAGCCACTATACCTGTAAAAAAATATTGGAACTTAATACATTTTGTAAAATTTATACATTGAATTATTCGCGTAAGATACCGTGCACGTACCGTGAAGGTATTTTCTTTATTGGCTGTAGAGTTCTTGCATCTAAAAGTAAAGTATAAGAGCGACATCCCACTGCGTAAACACCATCATCTTGCACAGCAAGACAAACATTTTCCTGGCAAGCTGGTAGTTTCCTAGATATTTTTTGTCTGAATGTCTCTGCAGACCAGATGTGTATAAAACTATTCAAAGTAAGCGCAGCAATTTCTTTATATGTTCGATTAAAAGCAAGTGCTCGTACTTTTTGCGCCGATCTACATTCCTTGACGCACACAGGTTGAATCAACCTAATTAGAAAAAAAAAAGAAACACATGAATATAAATTTACAAATTACAAATCAAAGTTTTATTGTTTTTATATTTTGCAGTATATAACCTGTGTGTAGGGACATCAGCTTTGTCAGGAGCTTCAGCAAGATCATTGTCTATACGCCATAAAGCCATTTTAGTATCTCTAGATCCAGAGACTAAAAATTCATCATCTAACCAACACATATCAAAAACCCAATCTCTGTGACCTCCTTCTCCCACACAAACTGGATCTAACGTTGGTAGCCTGTATATTGCTATTTCATTACTATTTCTTGCTCCAGTTGATAAGAGAGTTCTGTAACACATGCAAAACGTTATAAACGAGAACAGAAAAAAAAACTTTATTCTAGGCAGTATGTATTTTTTCATTTGTATACCTTGAGGGATTAATTTGAACAGAATGTATACCACATTGCTGTTCAGGAACAGCACCACCTCCAGAATTAATTTGTCTTCCATGTAGAGATGGTATTTGGTCTAATTTCTGTGTTGCTACGTCATAAACCATCAATTTGTTGCATTTTGTACCAAACACTACTTGCCTATCGCTTAACCATTGAGAGCAAAAGACTTTATTCATATTATTTAAGCTAACCGAATATTCTTTAAATAAGTCATGAGTCAATATATGTCGAAATCCATATTCTTGATTAATTTTTCGCACTTCTCTCGTATTCGTCTCCCTTGCACGTACATAATCCACAAAATTGAAAGATGTTCTTAAAAATTGTTTTCCTTCGCTTACAGTCTCTGTTTCATCATCACTTGATTCATAACAAACAAAATCTTCAGGCTTGTCTGGTTTACGATTCCTTTCCAATCTTAAGGCCAATCTATAACAAAAATATCGGGTTCTTCTAATGTTAATTTATAACAAGAATACCAGTTCTTTAACTTCTCATGAATGACTAATGTCATATATTTTTATTAATTTACCTTCTAGCACGGCGTTCCTCTAAACGAGTCCCACTAGCACAGGGAGGATGTCTGCCATATACAGTCATTCTCTGTGTTTCAGCCATTGTCTCCAAATTTTATACTTTATGAGCTAAGATGCCTTAAGATGTAATTGTTGTTGCATATAAAATTTTGTCAGTAATTTAATAAAATTATTCTTGTCTATGTAATAAATAAGACTATATTTAACAATACAGTCTCAGGAATATATATTAAATATCCTTAATTATTATGTTCAATTAAATTGTTCTATCTAGATGGAACATAAATGTCCTCCTGTCATTATACTTAAAACAAATCCTTAATTGCTTTATTACCAAAAGGAATTCGTTAATTTTAAAATGTTATTTATATGCATACAGCAATACGATCATTATAATGATCAATAAGCCTTTGAATGATATTAAAAAATTAAAATATCCAAACAATACCATCAAAGGAAATTTCAATCTCGCCTAGCGAAATATTTATAAACGTGGCTGGTATGCAGTCAACTGACAAGAAAATATCTTGGCAGCAATTCCTCTCTGACTGAAACAAAATGAACTGTACATTTTTTACAAATTTTTTTTCTCGATCTAATTACATTATTCTCGTTTTCAATATTTCCCGAATAATGCATACGAACTTTTACATCTTTACGATTACTTATAAAGTATAACAAACCTTGCTAGAAGGACGGCAATTGCCAAATCTATCGGGCTGTCTGAACGGAACGACTTTGAGATGAAACCCTTTGTTTATCAAATGCAAAGCCTCATAATTACGTAACTCGTATTCACTTGCGGATAATCATACGAATATCAAGGCTTTGTTTCTGAATTATATAAAGAAATGGAAAGGAAAGCCACCAAATTCATGATAAGCAAAGAGACGTTCGAGGCACTAAGCAACTAACCATCGCCATATTGAAACGAGCAGCAAAACCATATAAAATATAATAAAGTATACTGAGACATCGTAAACATGTTGTCTCGCCTCCTTGACAATTATTTTTTGCAAGTTTCTTTATTTAACGATTGCTAGGAATAAAATGATTATCGAGTAATTACAAAAATTAAAGGGAGTAACTTCCATCAATTGTCAACAAGAGAAGTTTACCCCCTCTACTAAACTTCATTACAGTTACAGCTGACATTTTTCAAAAAATGGCGTCCTTCAAGAAGATAAATACTAAAGTATTCGCAAGATCGGGAACTGAATTAACCTCGGATAATATATATTGGAAAAAATATACTGTGAGTATGATATAACAGCAAAAATAATACAGATTTTCGTGATAGTAATATATTGATTAATTTATGGTGCCCACGTGCGTATGACTTAACCTTATAAACAACATTACTTACATGACTATTATACTGATTAATTGTTCATAAAAATGATTTATTGAACAGGCTCCCGTATTGGTGAAAGAATTTGGACCAATTGATTATATAGACTTTTCACCTGTAGAACCACATTACTTTGCTGTCACATGTTCTGTAAGAGTACAAGTGTACAATCCAATTACAAAACTTGTCACAAAGAATCTTAGTAGATTTAAAGAAGCTGCTTATGGTGGTTCTTTTCGCAATGATGGAAAATTGCTTTGCGCTGGGGGTGAAGAAGCAGTTGTCAGACTTTTTGATGTTAGCACAAAAAGTCTCCTAAGACTTTTCTCTGGACATAAAGCTGCTGTACATAGGACATTTTTCACCAGTGACAATCATCACATTGCATCTTTTTCTGATGACAAGACTGTCATATTTTGGGATATACCTAGTGAAAAACAAATTATATCTTTTAACGAACATTCAGATTATATCAGAGCTGGTGCAGTTAGTCCAATTTCTAAGGACATAATCTTATCTGGTGGTTATGATAAACACATATACATGTATGATACAAGAACAAACACAAAAATTCTTAATGTAAATCATGAAGCTCCTGTTGAAAGTTTATTATTTTTACCATCTGGTGGAATATTTTTATCTGCAGGTACATTTTTTCCACTATATTTTAGCCATCCTTTAATGATGTAGTTCATATATACACAAAAATAGGAAAGGTTATTTATTTAAAATATCTCTTTTTCGTTTTGAACAGTTAAAATATTACAATAAAAGATAGTTTTGTTATAAAAAAAAAAAAAACAGCTTCTATTGCTTTATGTGATAAACCTTGTATAATGCAATGTTTTTAAAGGTGGAACCGAAATTAGAGTATGGGATGCACTTGCTGGTGGCAGATTACTTGCAAAAATCACCCAGCATCATAAAACTGTAACCTGTCTAAAAATAGCTTCAAATGGTCATAGAATTTTGTCTGGGTCGTTAGACAGACATGTCAAAATTTATGACTCTGGAACGTATAAAACTGTCCATTCCTTGGACTATCCAAATTCAGTTCTTAGCATAGGAATTAGTGTAAGAAGACATTCATGTTTTATGATATTTTTAGTAATTCCTGTAAGTCCTGAATCATTAAATATGATTTTGTAATTTCAGTCAAATGATGAAACTATAGTAGCTGGTATGGTTGATGGCTTAATTTCAGTGAGAAGAAGGGAAGAGGATACAAAAAATGAAAAACCACAGCGTAAAAAAGTATCGTACAGACATTCTGGCAAAAATTTGCACACACCACATATAGATATGGTAGTACACGAAGAAATGAAAGAAATTATGTCTAAACATGATACTTGTTTAAGAAAGTTCCAATATTCCAAAGCTTTGGACTGTGTAATGGCGAGTTATGTTGTGAACAAAACACCACACGTTACAGTAGCGCTTATGCAGGAACTTATCAGAAGACAGGGTTTAAAACAAGCTCTTGCTGGTAGAGATGGAAAGTCTCTTGTAAATATTCTCAAATTTTTGAACAAGCATGCAGGAAGTGTTCGATTTGGAAGAGTATTATTGCATGTCATTAATGTTCTAATGGGTATGTTGTAAATTTTATCTTTTTCATATATTATTTTTTGAAAATATTTTAACGATGTTCACATTATTACTTAATAGACGTCTACGAGGATCATTTGGACGAACTTGCTGCTGAACCACGAAAAATGTTTAGTATATTAGCATCGAAACTGGAAGAAGAAGAAAATTTAATATTAACATTATCAGAATTGCAAGGAAAATTGCATATGATACTATCTGCTGCAGAAATTGTACCACCCACACCAGTGAAAGACGTTCAAGTTTTAGAACCTTCGAGTAATGCTCAAAAGAATCTAATCTTAAGTATAGCATAAATGTAGTATCTATATTGTCTCATCATGTATCATAGAAAAATCTGTACATACTTTTCATATATATTGTAATAAAATTAAACATACATCAGATGCTTTCATTTACTAAAAAATTATTTGAATTACAAAAGAAATAAGGGTTAATATAAATGTTTAAAGTATAGTAAACCAGAGAAATTATCCACATTTCTAAAATTACATTACATGTTGTTTATATTAATAAAGTATAAATTACTAGACTTTATAGTAAACTTAGTTTCTATGAACTAGAATTTATAATCATATTAGTTTATTTCATGGAATCTCTTTTCTGAGACATTTTTGCCACATAGCAGAAGATGGTTTATCAGGCATTATCCATCCAATTGGAATTGCTGATGCATCACTATCTGAACTTATATACTTATCCCAAGCAGTCCTAAAAATAAATTAATAATTTTATTATCATTAATCTATAATTGAATATTATCCAGTTATAAAAGTATAGCTTACCGTATAGTAATAAAACTCGTTAAGTCTACATTATATTGATCGGACATTGATATCTTTTTTCCAAACAATACATTTTCCCAATCATCAAAAAGACTTTTCTTTTGTTTTTCAATTCTTTTTTCATTATCAGTTTTTAACATTAGTTTCAAACCTTGTTCCTCTATAGAATACTCACGATCCAGAGTAGACCATTGTTCTGTTAATTTTACTACACAGAAGAAATATTTCTATTAATACAATTTTCAAAATATTTATGAGAAATGAGATTATAATAGTACCTATGATATTATTAAATGCTTCGTTGGCTGCTGAGGATAAATGTTCACCTCTTGCTATGGCAATATTGGCCTTAATATTATGTAGATTTCGTAATTCTTGCAACAATACAAGATATTTCCTAGCATCGCTTCGCTTTCCTCTAACATCAAATAAAATCATATCTGCATCTTTACGTAAATTTTCTTCTTGCTTTTCTTTTTCTATTGCAGCTTGTTCCTTTCTAATCCATGAATCGATCTGAGTATGCATTCTTGCTCTCCTTTCCATTTTCATTAATTTTTCATTTTTCCATTTCTCTCGTTTAATCTTTTCTCTTAATCTCTTTTTAGTTCGTCTTTCTAAATCTTTCTTCAATTGATTTAAAAACTTTGGATCTTTAATAGGCTCTAATAATTTAACAATTTCATTTTTTGCTGTATTGCAAATGCACATTTTCTGTTGCCATTCTTCATCTGTAAAATTTTGATTATTTTTCAGCTCTGCACAAATTGTTTTCAATTTCTCATTTAATTTATGTGCTGATGTGATGGCGTCTTTAGCAGCTGCAATTTTAGATTTTCTACATACGTTTCTCTGGTTAGTTACAATATTAGATTGATCAATTTCTAAAAGAAATGCTTCAATACTTTTTTCATCAATTTGTCGTGTTTCTACTGTAATTGTTGGTATAGTATTCTTGCTACCATTATCAGTAATACTACCAATTGGATAAACATAATTTTGCTGTACATTTATATTATAATTTGCATTATACATTGATTGATTCATTGAGTGATGCATATTGTAATGTAGGTTTTTATCGATTTGTATAGAACTTTCCAAGAAACTCTGATCTTGAAACATGATAATTCAGTAGTAACACTTAACCTCATGCAATATGAAATGCCTTAAACTTATCACTTTCTTTATAATGTTAAATGATTAATGTGTTTACAAAGTTTATATGTTAGATGAAAATATAGTTCTTTTGTAACTTTTGGTGATATCTTAACAGAATTGCTTTCCTAACACATCTCCATAATTTCTCCAGGTTTAGGAAGTTGAGCTTCTGCTTCTTGTAATACTTTCTCTGCTTCTATGTAATCTTCAACTTCTTTTAAATCTTGCTCTGTTTCTAATATGTTCTTCAATTCTTCAAATGCTTTGACAAGACGTCGTTGACAATCTGGCACCATCATGAGGGATTCTTGAAGTACTTCTTCTTGCTTCTTTATGTCATAACCATCCTTGTCTGTAAAAGAATTAAAAATAATATAAAATCTATTCTATTGTCTCATATGTCAATATAAATGTCTTTGAGATCCATTGAGATAAGTGAAAATCTTTAACTGCAGCATTTTGTATGTTAAAAGTGCATTTACAAGTGTTATAACTAGTGACATATTAACTTTACAATTAATCCTTATGTGAATAACCAAATATTTTACAAATATACAAAACAGTTTTAACACATAACACAGCCATTGAAAGGATCGCATTAACAAAAAATGCAACATATTTCTAGTCGCATTTTTTCAAATATTCTCACCCTGATCCTTCAATTTTTGTATCCTTTCACGTTGCTGTGATGCTTCTTTCTCATACGTGACTTTTTCTTTCGCGAGACGTTTCACTACTCCAGTTTTAATTTTTAGAATTCTTATGCGAGGGTCAGACATTGTTCTAATTGAGATATTATACCTAGTCTGCAGAAAATGAAGTGATCACTGATTGAACAAGTTTTTCCTTATAAGGTAAGATGAGTAGTTACTAATCAATTTCAGAGAAAGTCTGTAATTTTTAGGTTATACCGACTTCTAGCCGGAGACTCACTCGTATCGTATCCCACTGTATCCCACCTAGTAATGGCCTTATAACGTGACCATGATCAAGACTAATGGGTAAACATTTATAACCATCGAAAATTATTTATATTAATATTATTAGCTATTTTACTATGTTGTGACGATTATAAACACCTTTTACGAAATACATATCCAGTTTGCGTGATACCTTTAAAATTTGTTAAAGGTATAATAAGCCAGTTTCTTATCAAGATTTAATTATTTATTTCACATTTAATGTCAACAAGAATCTAAAATTGAATACAAATTCTCCATAAAAAAAAGGATAAAATGTAATATATAAGAAATATCAATACTTCGATGTATTTTAGTAATAAATATTAATTGTTTCACTTGGATTAATTTTGTATCGTATTACGAAAGACGAAAATTTTTATTTCAAATTCTATCCAGCTATAATTATAACAATCATTATCTCAATATGTTATATCAAAATGTTTTCTTTTCAGCAACAATAATAGTTATGTGAATCATCGATACAAATATATAAATTTATACTTCAAGACTTATTAATAACGATCATTTTAATAGAGTAGTAGCAAGACTATTTGCAATCGTGTTCGTGCATTACATTCGTTTACGAAAATATTTTCATGCAGATCTTGTTTTTTCACAAGCACGTTTCCGTGTTAATAATTTCGCGCCATTTGATTTCGAATGTTCGAGACTTGCAGGAAACTTCAAACGGCATCGCAGTATATCCCCCCAACACTTCCGCAGAAAAACGCTACATCGTGCCTGCATTGAAAGGTGCAGCAAGGAAACAGAAGGGTTAATTGTGTATTGGTTTACACTTGATTCCCCGAGCAATGTAACGAACGGTAGTGTCAAGATTACAATGCAAGACGATATTTTCCCGGCGGCAGAGAAAATCCTTTCCGACATCGAAAATGTGGTGAAGAAGAATCCGTCGCTGTGAGTGTTTTTCTTAGATACATTACGAGTTACGAGGGCGGAGTCTTTAAAAATATCTGTGAAATGTGCCATTAAATTCGTAGATTCGACGCGTCGGTGTGTCCATTGCATTGACAATACAACAGTACGGTCGGTGTGCTTTTTTTTCTTTTCATGAAATATCGTCGCTGTACGTTTTATTCGGACACGCGTACATACGACGCTTCGCGAAAGGTTTGCATAGTAAATACAGTATCAGTAATGTTGGTATCTGATGTCTACAATAGGAAACTGGCGCCATCACGATTATTAAATCTTAATAATTACGATCAGTGTGCGTCCCTGCGTATGTGCGTCCATTCGTGCCGTGAATTTAGAATTGCTTGCATAGTCAACGTATCGTGTCCTGATAACGAATATGAATGATATACATATTTTTATTCAAAATTATTTCCACCAAAAATACGATGCAAACTACAGCAACGTTGTTCGTATCTCGAAGTTGTCATTTTTTTAGTATTCTGTACAGTCTTTACATGGTTATGTAATTCGTATATTTATATTTTTGACATATAATTCAAGCATTTCTAATATAATTTATATGATTTACATTATTTCAAATTATAACTTTTAAGAGTGGAAATAAAAAATGTGTATACAGAGTGAGTGTTAAAGCTTGGACCTGAAAGAAATCTTCGTTTATAATCATTCTGTTTCAAAAGGAAAAACATTTTCCGAAATTCATCCACATTTTTCTTAAATGAAATAACGTACTTTCATTGTTGTTATATTGTATCTAATCAGAAGACATATTTGATAATATGTTGAATTTTGAATGATTTCTTGAAGAGTTATTGTTATAATTATTGTTACAATTTACCGTTTATCCATTTACTATCGTCAAATGTACAAAAATATGTAGAATATTACAGAATATGTTCAAACTGACTATTGAATCATTGGTGTCAAAGAATTTCTGTTACCGAATTCGCAGAGATGGGCAAAACCCTAGGGTTCGAAACAATCTGAAGTTTGCCGATGTGTTTGTCTCGTTTCCTTCTTTAAAATAGAGATGGCGTGGACTGCTACTTTTGAATCACTCGTGATTCAATCACGATGATTTTTCACAGTGATTCGTGATTGTTCGTGATCGCTTCTGATTGGTAAACAACATTCTTTTCACTTTTCACGAATTATGTTGTTCTTAGATTATATATGTATTATAATATAGTCTAAAAGCAATGTTAATATAATTTTACTAAGATTTAAATTTGACTCATTTGTAGTTTCTTGAATTTCCACTAAGGGGAGACAGCGAGACACTAACGATAACAATTAACCCCTATAGTGGTATCGACCGATGAAGAAAGCTAGAAGAATTTATAATCAAGTCTAATAATACCAAAAACGACACGTTTCCAAAGTTAGACTATTTTATGTAATGCGATTCCTGTTCGCATGTTTTGCAACGAGATGGTGCAGAGTACAAAGGGTTAACATGAACCGCTTCTGAAACGTCATCTTCCGGATCACGGTCGTGATCGAAGTTTAATCACGACTGCGATCGTGATTGTGTGATCACCGTGAAAAATCACTGTTAGTGATTTTTCTCGCCATCTCTACTTTAAAAGAGAAAACGAGATAAACATATCAACAAACTTCAGATTGATTCGAAACCTAGGGTTTGTACTTATTGCGAATTCGTAACCGTTTTGTGTGGCAGAAACAGTTGCACGAATTTATGTGAAAAGTGTCAACCAAGCACCATAGTTGAGCCGAATGAACGTCACGTTAGAGCAACGTACAGTGGAGCATTCGGCCAGAACAGAAATTAAAAACCCGAATTCTTCTATGTGATTACAGGAAAAGTTTCGAGATAGTTCCCGCGGAAGATAACGAAAATAAATCGCCAGTGTTTCATCAGGAGGACTGTCTTGGATTGGCATCATGGTGCGTCCAACCGTTATACTGCTACGCTCATCGTCGTCTTTTCGAACTCCGTCAGAACAAACACAGACGGGAAGAACCTAACACGATAGCAAAATGGTTGCTAGGCGCTCTTCTATTAAATCCCGAAGTGACGACGTTCTGGAACATGCGACGGGAGCTGGTAAGAAATCACAAGCTAGAGCCGTCGGAGGAATTCGCGTTCTCACGGTTGGTGCTGTACCATAAGCCAAAATGCTTTGAGGCGTTCGCCTACCGACGGTGGTTACTGTCTTGCGTGCTGAACGCGAAAGACAGCCGTTACGATCCTGATTCGACGGAATCACCGCTTTGTACCGAGTTAAACATCGCTGCTATATGCGCGGACAGGTACGGGAACAACTACGACGCGTGGAGTCACAGGCGTCACGTGATGGCTCTTCGCGAGTCGCGAGGATTCACTTATCCAACGCTCGAAAACGAGTGGAAGAATTCCCTTGCTTGGTGTCAACGACATGTCTCCGATTACAGTGGGCTTTCCTATCGGCAGTTCTTATTACAGAAATACATGTTCGAGTTCAAAGAACCGCTGAGAGAGCCATTGATAACGTGCCCGAACGACGACAAGCGATGCAAAGATGAATTGTACGCTTACATCGAGTCCACCATCAGCGACGAGGGGGACAGGCATAAATTGCAAAGGTTGTTCGACGCGATGCGCACGGAATTCAGGCCATCTTCCTCAAGAACGAAACAGCAAACTTACTTCTCCGCTTTCTCGTATTGGGCGCAAGAATGTCGCGTGAACGAAAGCACCATTTGCATGTACAACGATTACGAGGCTCTTTGGTGTCATCGTAGGTTCCTGGCTCATCTCCTGGTGCGTTTCATCGCGTCGTATGCGAAGCATTCCTGCCTCAGGGACGATAAGCTTGTCGATAAGTCGATCGAGGCGAAAGATGTTCAGAAAAAGTCGCTCGCGACAGATGACGTGACGTTGTGCCACGACCTTCTTGTGGGAGCCTTTCGCACGCGTACCGAAAAGATCGCCGATCTTGCAACGAAACGAGATCAGCACGAAAAGATGCTCGTCGAGAGGTTCTACAAGTTTCTCAGAAATATCGGATTCGAAATAAGGTCGTGATCCTATTAGCCGTTGAAATTGTACTTTTAAATAAAAAATGATCCGCGCGCATTAAGCTGTATAATCATACTCATACCGGGCATAAATCGAGTGCCACTGTAAAAAACAGGTCTATTTTACATCGTCGACAAATGTTTCCTCGACTTTGTTTTCTTCGATGTTGTTTCACAGAGAACTGTTTTCATTGACATTGCCTGTTTACCAACACGTTAAATATAATTTATTGGAAGTTTGAGATGTATCTTATTAGTTTAGGATTGTTTGCGTCATTAGTTGAGTTTAATAATGATTCAACATCCTCTCTGACTTTCTCTTCCGTCCTTGTTTTTAGCTTTTCCCTAGTATGTAACTTTGTCTTCGGTTTGTTATGAAGGAAAAATATATCCACGGTTTGGACGGTCAATATGCGAACATCACTCTATAATAAAATGATGTCCGTTAATATGTTGTTCGCCGATCGCAATATTACAATAATACTCGTTATTGCTTCTTTCTTTTGTGTTCGTCGTTTTCACTAAACAACACACAAGTAATAACCCAAAAAATATCTTATCGGAACAGTTTACACAATTCTATTAGAATATAAGATTATTTGTGTACAATCAAGTGTCGATGAAAATTGAAGTCTGTGGGTATAAAGATTGGTGAACAAACGAGGTTCTTCGAGATCAGTTTAAACTAAAATAGAAACTATTGTTGGTGATTTGAAGTAGACCTGTAAAAAATCACGCAATAACTTTTACTCTGTATTCTACGCAGACGTTATTCCTAATCGTATACTACCCGTGAATTGTATCTCGATAGCGCTCTCTCGTCGGATCCATTCGAGCGACGAAAGCCCTCCCTCCCCTCTTGCGCATAAATAATATAGCGCCGTTTTAATAAGTAAGAATCTACGTACGATCGTACGTATATAACAATAAGTAAGAAACGTACGATGTAGTTGAAATGGAACGAGTATTGATACTTATTTTTGAAACGTTTACCATGTATTGTTTGGAGAATGTTTGAACGCGATATTGCGTAATTATCGAAGAAAAGTGGTAATCGGTTTGCGTTTGATTTTCCAAACGCTGCCCGACGTTCAAGAGAATTAGTACAATTGCGTGATACAGAAGAAAAAGTGTCTTTTGAGGCTATAGGGAAGTATTATCGCGAGACAAATATGTATAGTCGAATATTGATAAAATATGAAAGAAAAAAAATATTAGTTTTGTAATCATGCGTTTTTAGTCACCGTTAGAACGTCGTAGGGTCCTTAAACCGGACCGTATACATCACCCAAAGCCAATCGTTTTCACGCAATTACGTATACACGCTACATTGGCCACGTTGTTCCCCCTTTGGCGCGACAATCTGACCAAAAATAAACCTTTAGACTTTTAACTGAACTATCACAGTCTACCGGGAACGGTCATTAGGCGCGTGCGATCGTCACATTTCTCATAAACCAAGTCCTATTTAATTCCGGTTTCATTGTTACATGTTATAAAAGTTCAGTGAAAATTTGGTTTTGGGTTTTAGCCAAGTTTCTGTACAAATAATTATGTCGTTTGTATGTAATAGCTGTTGGATTTCTGTTTTCTTTGTGTTTATACTCCTGCAATTCCACAAGGTTATGTACAATCTATTGTCCATTATTTGAGTTTTTTAAGATGAATTCTTGGGTTTGTACTGTTTGATTGGTTGAGTGGTTTTTATTATGAGATTTGGAGTAGTACAATTTGGTTGTGTTCAGGTTTGTATGATTTTACTAGTGCTGGGAGCAGTTGTTACTGCATCCAGTAGTTCAGTGTTAACTTTCCTGGTTGGTTTTTCTTTTTTGGTCTTTTGGTGGTTAAGTTTTCTGTCTTTGATTATTGCAGTTTTGCTTTTTGTGTCGATGTTTGTACTTATACCTGAGATGCTGTTTGTGATTTTCTTTCAAGCAATTGTGTTTACAGGTGGCGTCTCTTGACCTCCTATTCTCTTTAATTGTATTATTTTTTCTTGCGGTTGTTCTTCAAGTGGTGGGTAGTTTTCGATTGTATTTTGTATTACAGATTGTTGTTGGTTTGAGTGTTGTGTAGTTTCACCTAATATTTTTTTAGCTTCCCAGAAACTGAGCTTTCTATAAGCCATTGTGCTGCAGATTTCTTTTTGTTTCTTCAGTCCCTCGGAGTTTTTATTTAATGTGCTGTGTCCCATGTTGCAACGTAGGCACTTTGGGTTTTCCATCTTTGGGCATTTTCCTTCTGGGTGGACTACTTCTTCCGAGCAAGTTTTGCATATGAGTTCGCTTCTGCAAATTTTAACCTCTAAACCAAAGTAAACCTCTATTTTTACTCTGTAAAGGCCGTATAGTTTGATGTAATCTGGGAGAGTTGTACCTTCGAATGTGAGTACCACTGTTTCACTTGGTATCCATTCAATTGCTCCTGTTTGGGAGTCTTTTGTTCTACGATTTAATCGTCTGGCTTCTTTAATTCTACATGACGACACGGATTGACTAACTGTGTCATTTACTTCCAGGTCTATGGAAAAGCCTTTCAGCACTCCTTTTCGTTGTAGTCTATATAGTGGTATTGAGGCCAGAAGTTCTTTCTCATCCAATTGTTAAGTCACTGCTCATTTTTCTTTTACGTGGTCCTTCCTTTGTATTGAATTGTCTTTTTCCAATGACTTCTGTCCATGTTTCGTTTGTTTCATTGTCCAGATTGATGGATGGCATCATGGTCGCGTTACCCACGCCACGGGCTGTGTAGCCCGTAGATGTGGGATTCTCAGTGGTTTGCTCCCACTCTATTTTTACACACTTATATTGCGTAGTTTGGAATATAACCGAAAAAGAAATAAGAATCTCACTGTAGAGATTTGCTGGACTACACTATTTCACAATTATAAAGGGATTTCTTTACGGTTCCGCACTCAGACCCCTTCGATCGCCATCCCAGGGTTCCAGCAATTTTTAAATAAATATTGTTATTTCCCCGTAGTCGCCTACTTCGCTGGTTTCTATTTTTCTTTTTAATTTATCCCTCTCAGCTCCACCTATACCCGATAGATGGACGCTTTCTTTGTCCTTTTCCTTTATTCTCCTCAACTTTTGGTTGCCTCGTGTTGCCATAAGGCACCCAGAAACTTTGGAAACCATATGGCTTTGCTATTTTAGGTTATGATATACCGTTTGGTGATTCCTTCCAGTTTTTGGGCGATTCCTCTTAGGTCTAATTTTTCTTAATCTTTCTTTTACTTTTTCTTCTTAATCTTCCTTCTAATCTTACTTAAATTCTTAAGAATCTACTAACAATATTCTATAAAACTCAAATCTCCATCAGCTTGACAATCATAATCCGTTTCTCTCCTCTGATTCTTTAAATAAATAAAAATACAGAAAAATGTGGCGCCATCTCTCGGCGAACCTTCCAAGTTTGTCGTGAAATAGTTCCGACTTTGCGTCGCTAAGTGGCGCCACTTTTTTTTATATTTTCATTTATTTAAATATTTGATATCAGTCAATTGTTAGTCTTCAAATCAACAATTTGATGTTGAATTATGACAATTATGATGTAAAATTACAGTTATATGCCGAGAAAAGTACAGAATTTATGTTTTGAATAATTACATGTCGGTTGCGACATCTAGCAGCGCGGGGTGGAAACTACTTCACGACAAACTTGGGCAGTTCACCCAGAGATGGCGCGACATTTTTTTGTATTTTTTTATTTAATAATATGATATGTATTAAGGAATATATATGAAAAATTAGTTCGCACACCGCCGCGAGATGGCGATACCGTTTTCGTGTCCATTAACTTGTCTATATGCTTTTCTGGATAAATGGAAATATATGATTCCAATGAAATCAGAGATGGGCAAAATCTTTATCTATGCTTGTGGGTTAAGTGATGGTTATGATTAGTTTTAAGGTATAGATGTACGAGAGTCTGTCCTCTACCAAACAATTATTAACCCCTTCCTGTACTTTAGCGAGTCAGACTCGCGATGTAGATTTTGGCCCAACATGAATATCGCGAGTCAGACTCGCGACGAGTTACTTAAGTATTGCGATTGTTTACAAGCATCAGTCTGGTCTGTTTAGTGCGCGTCGATGTCTACCGCTTGGGCCCGAGTTTCGTAGGTCCATATTGGACTCGCAACTTCGTTCACCACTTTGGTCACTATTGCTTCATGTGATAAGTGTAGTGACCAACTGTGTAACTGGACAGAAAGGTCGGTTCCCGTCCTCCTGGTGGATCTGATTCGAGAGGAAGATGATCGGTTCCTTCGGATCGGTTCTCTACTTCCTGCATCACGTTTAGTATAGTCCAAGTACTGGTCCGTAAAAAAACAAAGTATCTCGATAATAGTAAGTCGTCAACCATAATGGATAGCGAAGGTTCCAGCCGTAAATGAAAAGATTGGAAGACCCTGTCGACACGGAGAGTGTTTGCTCTCAACAGTAGCATCTGTATAAATTTATTAAAGTGGTGGTTTTAGCTTTTTATGGACGGCAGGGATATTTTTTTCATGAACTTCATAACGTTAAAATTATTCATAGTTGTATACTGAACCATGCTGAAGAGCGTCTTTAGACTACTGACACAACAACTGCAGCAGAGACGACAGCAGCGTATAATAGATTAATTTTACGAACACGATGTTCCTTATTCGAGCTTGATATTGGTTTTTCGGTAGAGAAAAATGTATGTTTAAGACAATGTGTCTTTAAGAATGGAATGTTCAGAGTAGTCTTCATGAAAGAACAATCCTAATCGCGAGATTTAGTTTTCTCCAACATTTTTACATTTTCGCTCAGTAAAGTAAAATTGTCTTCGTTCTATCTTGCGTATACTTTCCAAAATGTGGTCCTCGTCTCTCGATCCCCCCCAAGCTTTGCCGCATGACGCAACCTGCGCTGCATAGGTACCTGTAGTTGTTGCCAGACTCAGGTATTTCCCGATGAGTAAACGTCACCGAGGAATCGGCACGCCGCGCGCCGGGTCGCTCACGCTCTCGCTCTCATTTCAACGTGTTCCGCGTATATGTTATTTCATCGTGAAACTCCCTGGACGCGAGCAATGCCGGAAATAACTGTGAAATCAGGTGAGATTCGCAAAGTGGCGACGTACGTGTCGCAAATATTCAGAGAAATGCGGTATTCACGGCAAGGATGCGCGGCCAAATGCCAAAAACGTGACTGCCCTTGTACCTTGCTAGACGCTCGAGAGTTCTCAGTTGTTAGATAGAGGTCCACGAGGTCGTCGCTCAAATATTGGCACGGTTTCTTCTTTTGTCGCAGTTCAAACGGAAACATGAAAAATCAACGTTTCGTTTTCTTTTTATAGACGAACAAATTGTCGCGAGTCTTGTGCAAGAGACGACGCGTCGTGAAATTCTGTTCGGATTAGCTCCTTCGCTTCTTGATTCGATTCGATCAAGTTTTCGCGTCGTAGAGATTTCTCGGGTACAGAGAGATTTTTTTGTTTGTAATGCGACATGGCACTACGAATTTATGAAATACGAGGTGAGTTTAAACGATACCAATCGAATCATAGGCGTTGATTTGATTACAGAAGCATGCCTTTCACGTAACTAACGGCCCACCGAAGACATAGTACACTAATACTAAGGTTGACGTGATGCAAGAGGGTTTTAAACGAATTAAAGCATCGCCGCCAGGAATAGGCTAGAATCGCTTCTTTCCTAACATTACCACACCTGTTTCTTAAACATCAGTCGCTACTCATTCAACAGACCATCAGTTCGCGTAACTTCTTGCCGCGTTCTCGACCACTTCGAGCCGTTTCTTGTTTATTTCCACCGCGAAGTAAGTCATACACGTTTACAACCATGTCAGGACGAGGACATTACTCAGGTGATGAAACGCTAAAAACATCTAAATGCTTGCTCGTAAAATTAAACGATAATTTATTAAAGATTTGTTTGAATTTAATGTAAAAGAAACGACATTACTTTGCAGTCTACCTAATATATATTTGTCTTTTATCAATCATAATTGTTACGACCAGTGTCAGAATAAGATTTTGTTATCCCTGGGCTACCCGTTTACACTAGGTAAATCCGTAGTGCTATTTCACCGTAAAGGAATGGTGTAGTTAATCCATTGTTTACTACGAGAGTGTAGATACCAGAAGCTTGTAATGTTTCATGCTTGCGTGTGAATTCGTCAAATTGTCACAAATTAATCTCTGGGGACTCTCTAGCTGGCAGAGGTCTCTGGACTGCAGTTCCTAAAGCCCATTTGCGACACGTTAACTATACTTATCATACAGTTATAACTATCCTTAATTTTAATTTACTAATAATAAACCTCGAAGAACAGCAGTGCATTGAATACTTAACAAAGTAAAATTGTTTCAATTGAACATTTTATCCGGAACATAATTACTCGGTGTACAAGAAGAATTTTTTGCAACGAACCCATAAATAATAACATGCTTACGAACAATTCCCCCGTTATCAATTTTTTATCGTTGTAATTAGCATTCACTTCCATATTGCATACTTGCAAAAAGTGAAGCGAAGTGAAAAAACTTCAATAATTACTATTTAGCTCGTACTTACAAGAAATTTCTTGTAACATAATAGTGTTCGATTCACGGACTCGTTATTTGCATACAAATTAGTCGATTAGATGGTTTGTTGCCTGTTATCGAATCCTCTCTCACAATTTCTGAGAAACTTAAGGAAATATAATAGTGTTGATACGACAATTACAGTTGTTTAGACCGAGACTGTGTGATTACTAATTTTTATTGTAATTATACTACTGACTTTATACGTTTCCGATACAATCTGATACAATAAATACATGATAAACATAACCAAAAGGTATATGCACTTATGCAAAACGAACAAACAACATTATTAGTAGAATATATTCAACATGCATTAGGTATATTTTTTGCATGTTTTCAATATTATTGTTAGCCATAAATGCGTAAAATTTGCAGTCTAATTATAATAGATTTAACCTTTTCCTGTGTTTTTTTTTTTTTTTTTTTTATCAGCGTTTAAATATATTGGGAGGATACGATAGAGATTTAGTTCATACAATTTGCCAAATAGTGGAAAACTATGTTTTAGACGCTATTTTTAAAAAATGGGTAAATTACATTAAGAAAATTTATTGGATAGTTTTAAAAATATATGTGTATATACGTATGTATAATATTCATTGAGCTGTTGTAACTCTATTTGGTCAATCTTTGGTCATCTTCATCTATGTATATACTATGCAATAGTATGAAGGAATTATTGTCAGCCTAGATTATCATATGCTACTGTAGAAAATTCTTTTTTGAATTAAAGACTGTTTCTAAATAGCCCGGTAGATAAAGTGTTAAAAGCGAAACCGAAAGCCGCTGCGAAAGGGTTAAATGCTACGGACAGAACATTTCAACTAGAGAGGTCAATTCATATTCCCGTCAGGTCGAAAAAGATTAACATCGTGAACTTGGGCACGAATAAATCAAATCATACGAACTCGGTGAACCCGAGGTAGTTAAAAAAGATCAACGAGGACGATTAAAGGTTTGGTCGTTTCAGATAGCGAGCTGGGCACGCAGCAGCTGCGACGTAGCGGCTCGTTAAGGATACCCAGGTCTTCGGACGCGAGTAACATTGATCGTACTAGATTGAACGTGTCGTCCTACGATGGAAAATCATCACCGTCGTCCGTTTCGTGGACAAGTAATTCCGATGGTACGCCAATACGCCAAGCCAGGCAGTCCGTACCTGCGATCGACGCACCTGCGCCGGAATACCTCGCCAGGAACCTCCTGCAACTCGGCTGCCCAGCCGTGTCGATGCCCACGTAAGTCTTCTCTGATCTATCGCGTACTGTGCTTGTGACGCTTCTTCGGTTTCCTTCGGGCACATCCGCGAGGGGATAACGATTTCCGCGAACCAGCGTCATCGATGACTTTCCATTGAAGCGAGAGTACTACGTTGTTTCTGGAAGAAGAAGCTTCCCATGACAGAGAGGTGTGTTTAACCAAAACGATACTACCGCGAGAGAATTCCCTCTCGCCAAGTGAATCTCTCAAGAAAGAATCCGTGTGTATATATATGTATATATCGTGACAAGTTGGCTAGGAACGTGTTGTTTACTGTTTTCATAAGCTTCCCTCTGAAATTGACATTTCGGAGAGTTGTTAGATTTTAATGTTCCCTTCGGATCATAATTTATCTCGAGATTTCGGTTAGAGAGAAAGTGTCACTCGATCGTGGAAGGACCTGTAGGTCGTTTGTTGTGTGCTTGATGCCGATTAAAAACATAGAGCAGTATATTGGACGGTGATTACCTTGATCTTGCTAGGACACATCTGAGCGCAATAATTTATCCGTCGCGGGTGTCGTGCTCGACTTGTTACGTCACTGCTGGGTTGTTGTATACATTCGAGCAGTGTTTCTCAAACATCAATTTCATGTGGATACCATGACGAAAGAAAGTTTTTAGCGAACCCCTTACGGTAGAATTAAAATATTGCTTTTTACGTGGCATTGAAAACTGTCTTTAAAAAAGGATCTATTTATCGTCTCAGGACTTGAATAAATTTTGAGAAAAATTGGTCGATAGGTGTTGTTTCACGTACATTAATAATATTTCTTTTTTTAATCAATAGCGTATATATGCTACTTATTTTTAAAATATTGTCTCACTTGATAAAACATACTAAATAAAAGTTACTAATAATCATTTTAAATATGTTACTTTCGATTATGCGCATTGTAATACGCGAAAATGTATGTATATAATTCAACAGTCTTCTTAAATGCACAAGTTTCTCTACGATAAATGGACAGTAAGATTATCCGGGATCGGGTATCTCGATGAGACAATGCTAATGCAACGATCAAACTTGTTTTATTATTACCGTTTTTGTTATAAAACTGTTACCATCATGTTCCTGACATTTCTCTGATTAAAACGAGACCAAACACGACGTAATTCGCATCATATTTACTACATGTCTCACCGAAATAATCCCGGTGTTGGTCGCCATTTTCGCATGTCGCTCCGTCCTCTTCTTCGTTCGCTGTCCTTCTCTACACTCGAAGTTTGTTGGCACAACATTAGAAGATACAGTATCGACTGAATGAGGCATGCAAAATCGGATACCCAAAACATTGCACTCGAGTGTTTTTATGTGTTTACACTTGACACGCGTCGAGCGTCGAACGTAGAAAAGGACAGATAGCGAAAGGAGAAAGAGGTCCGAGAAAAAGAAAACACTCGACAGAAGCGTATCAATCGGTTCGGATCATATTACACCGGTGTTCGGGGTTACTCTGGCGAAACTACGGGCAAAAGAAATATGAATGGGCTGGCAGCGAGGGGGATGGGTATCTGAGAGACATACAAAGTGTCCCAGCCTAAGTAATACGGAGCTCTACCTCCAAAACTATCGGCCGAATGCAAAATTTCAAATATGGAAATTGCATGGTAAAACGGGCCTCATGCTTCAGCGTGAAGGAATTTTTGTTAACTTTGTTATTTAACGAGATATGATGGTCAAGTTTCGTTTTTCAATTGAAACTATATATTTTTTTTTTATACCATGCGATAGTACTTTTCAAGACGAATTCATTAAGCTTTAATATGTTTACCCGATTTTTAATAGTTTTCAAGCTATAACGCTTCAAAGTTTGCTAATTCTCAAGGAAAAATCTCGGTTCGGCCCCGGGCGGTTTCATTGATGCAGAAACTTCGCATTTTACCATGCAATTTCCATACTTGAAATTTTGCACTCGGCTGATAGTTTTCGAGTTAGAGCTCTTGTTAGAATTGTGCTTTTATAAACTTTATCTTCTAAAGGTTTGCAACATATATAAGAATGTTAGAGGAAAGATGTCCGAAATTCACGACGACCCGTACCACTTGACTTATTTCGACGGACTGAGGATCATCGCTTTCTGTCTCTGCTAGGACCCCATCCCTCTTTCTGCTTTAAGGAAAAACAGACCCTTTTCCTCAAGACTCGAAAGTGGCAATCGTTGCATTCCAAAAGTTCTGTATCACTTAGACTGGGACACCTTGTATACCAATTAGGTTAAAGTTACATAGTGAATTTAGTAGCGTGAAGCTGATACCTTCAGATACCGATCAGCGGGGAAAAAATTTCAATTTGAAATGTAATTACAGCTGAATATATGTAAAGATACCGAACTTATTTGTGCACCTAACATATTCATAAAAATAAATCGGAAAGTTAAAAATGAATGAATATATACAGGGTGTCCCAAAACTCGTGTAGGAGCCGGAAATGGGAAGTAGTTGAGACGATTCTGAACAACAATTTCCTTTGCAAAAATGTCAGTGGGGGCTTCATTTTTGAATTATTAACGAAAAACACCGACCAATCGCAGCGCCCGATTAGCGCGCGATTAGGTATTTTGACGGAATCGAAGATACGCGGGTTTGATAGTTTTTAACTGACTTCGAAAAAGGAGGAGGTTACTCAATTCGACATGTATATTTTTTTTTTTCTTAAATTAATTCTTCTCATTAATTTTTCCGGAGTAGTGCACCTTACTGCTTTACTCAAATACTCTCCTAATTGAGTACTATACTGTGTTAAAAGCTGATTCAAATCGGTAAGCCCCAGTTCGTTGCCTCTTCCTGTGAGTGCTGTCACAATTCTTGAAATGTTGTTGTTGTTTGTTTTATAAATGTACGTAATCTGTTTTATATCGATTATTGCACCTATCGGTCCAGTCTTGCTTGCTACAAATCACCAGTCTCGCACAAGTGTTTTATCCCAAATCATATTACAATACTTAACATTATTCCTTAATTTCTTCCATTAAATTCCTTTAGATGTCCGTTGAGGCCCACTGACACCCTATTATAGCTCGGGCATCTAGGTTCTTGTAATATATTGTAAAACATTGATGGCAGAACGCAAGCCGGCTGTTGATGGCACGGTAGTGTGCCACGGCATGGTGGTTAAGAACCACTGGGTCAATAGTTGGCAGGACTGGCGCAGACGCGCCGAATCAGCTGAGTGTGCGTTCATCGCGCATCGAACGGCGCTGTACCATTGGTGTGCATCCGCGGAAGTGTCGTCGGCTGGCGAGGAGTTTCACGAGCGCGGTCTGCAGCACGCTTCCACGCACCGCATTGCCGTATTTTCGGTGCGCTGTGAAACGCTTGCGAAACATACTCGTTCACGTTTACTCGATTACGCCACGTTTCGCGAGAGTCGATCGAGACCTCTCTCGGTGTAACGATTAAAACGATCGAACTGCGCTCGAATGAGAGGAATCTACGGGTACTCCGTGGTAGAAGACGTACGAGAATATCACGAAAAGTGCGCCGACTAATATATATCGATCGTTGTTTCACGAGCACGAGGGAAAAAGTGAACCTTACCGGTTAAGAGAGCGCGAACCCACTCGAACGTCAACGATCGAAAATTCAATCCAATCCCGTGAGCGTGCTTCCGAGAGGGATGATGCTGCGATCGCATTGACCGAGCGAGCTTCCTCGGGGTTGATCGTTACATTGAAAGAACAGCCGCCAAGGTTCTCCTCGATGCTGCACAAAATGAGAAACGGGAGGCAGACATAGGAAATCTAAAATAGTTCAAGTTTCCTTTCCGCGTGAGAAGACCCAATTTCCGAGTCTCGGTTCTTGCATGCGACTGTGTAGCAGTAACGTGGGACAGTGGCGCCCCTCTACTGGACTGCTAGCTACGACAATACTCATCGCAGGTGTGACTATTTCAAAACACGTTCTCATCCCTGGTCGTTTCAGTTTTGGTCCGCCATAGTCTTTTACGTTTCTTTCTTCCATGAATGTTGCGTTGCGTTTCCTAGTCCGCACTCGACCGCAGGTTTAGTTTGTTTATTAGTTATCCTTCTCAATGGCGTAACTAAAGGGTACACAGCGCATGCTAATCCCGCGCGCCCCTATGTTCAAAAGGGTTATAATTGGGTCGTAACCACAACTCGTAAAACATTCGATTACAATCGTATTGGTATTTGCGATTACGATTTTGCTCGTCGCTGCTTGTAAGAAACTGCAAATCTCGGCAGGGACGTAGTGGCAGCGAAATGGATCATCGGGAATCGTTTTTTTCTAAATGATTTATACCACGAAAAAGACGATTTTTAAAAATTGTTTATAAAAAAAAGAAATATACATGTCGAATTGAGTAATCTCCTCCTTTTCGAAGTCGGTTAAAAAGCTTCGCCATTTTGTTAGTTTATTACGAAAATGATTAATATCACTTTCGACTATAGCGATAAACCTATTGAATAATAATCATTTCGATTTTTTTGCTTTATGATACTACAAGAACTGCAATCATCTTCATTCAACTTTGATCGTGAAAAGGATCAACAAAATATTGTACAGTTATAATTTCAGCCATCACAGTAGAGTGACCCCTTAAATTCGACGTGGTAACATAGTATGTAAGACTGTACACAAAAGTTTTGAAAAGTGTACAGAAAAACAGATTTTTCCTCAGCCATGACCACCGAAATCGAAAATTTATATCTCTGGAGGACAAGATCCGAATTTTATATCGGCTGAAGAGCGGAAAAATTGCAATCCGTCGCCAGGAAGTTGGAGTCGAACGTATCGACGGTTCGAACGATCCGACGAAACGAGAATAAGATAAGAGCCGTAGCGAAACTCGGGTCGTCGGTGAGCTTGAACAGAGTCGTTCGCATAAAAGACAAGCTGATGCCAAAAATGGAGAACTGTTTAATGATGTGGATATAGGATTGCATCCAGAAGAACAAGAAGACAGAAGAAGAGCGACGAACGGTCCAGATCCGAATTCGGCGCTAGGCAAAGGCTGGTACGAGAGGTTCAAAAATCGATTCCCTCTGCAGAATCTGATAACTCGCAGAGAACAAGCGGCAGGTGGCACGGAGGCAGCTAAGAAATTTTCGGAGAAGCTGGTGAAAACGATCGAGGGTGTTGGTTATACGGCCGATCGGTTGTTCAACGTCGCTGAAACCGGTTTCTATTGGAAGAGATTGCCCCATCGTTCTTGTATCTCGAAAAACGAGCGCACCGCTTCCGAGTTCGAGGCTGCCAAGGACAGAATAACGCTGCTTTTGTGCAGCAACGCGTCGGAGGATTACGTAACTAAGCCCATGTTAATTAATCGCTCTTCAAACTCGGCCGAGATGGAAAGACTCGGCGAGTTTCGGTTGCCTGTTCACTGGCGAGATAATGAAAAGGAGTGGACGACGGGTGGCGTATTCCACGATTGGTTTTCCAACTGTTTTGTCCCTGAGGTAGAAAATTACACCGATAGGAGAAACATCGACTTGAAGATTTTGTTGATAATCGACGACGTGCCGTGTTATCCGAGAAATTTGAACCATCCGATTATTCAAACCGCTAAACCAGGGTGTAATAAAGACATTGCAACTGTATTACATACGTCGAACGCTTGAATTCATTATGGATAGAATGCGTCGCAGCGAAACGTCGATACAATTGTTGGAAGAGTTTTCTATTTTGGATTCGGTGGAAATTCTCGGTTCGTGCGTGAAGGACCTGCAACCTTCGACGTTGAATGTTTCCTGGAAACGCATCTGTCCCGGAGTAGTTACGATGGAGGGCCATTTAACACTGGTGGCCACGGAAATCGTTCGTGTACTAGACGTTGCTCGAGCTTTGGGCGGAAAGGGATTCGTTGACACGAACGAGAAGGACATTTACGAATTAATCGACGACGATAAAGAGTTAGACGAAGAGAAATTGGTACAATTGGCTGACGAATCTGTCGCGAATATTACGGATGACGATGGCGGCGAAAAATTGATACGATTGGCTGACGAATCTGCCTCGAATGTTACGAGTAACGATGGCGATGAAAGTTCGGAGGAAACGTTCGACGAATCAGAGAAGAACATTACCTTGAAGAGTCTCAACGTCGGATTCGAATTGCTGGCTAGAATGCTGGAAACTCATTTCGCGGAAAATGATCCATCGACCGAACGGTTCGCTGAATTTAAGAGACGATTGCACGAATGTCTGGCTCCATATCTTGAAATCCAGAAAGAATTGGAACCTAAGGAGCAATTTCTGATACTTGAAATCACGATAGACACGACGACGTGGGAAGATGCTTGTTCGTGTGATAAGAATATTGTGTTTAAAGATGAAATAATTTCGCAACACGAGAATGCGCAACCAGAAGTGAAAAAAGAAAGCAACTTAAGGGGTAAGGCCACTCCAGGTTCCCCAGAAATAAGCTAACTTCGAGAATGTTTTTCAGAAACTCATTAGAAGCGGTGAAAAATTCAATTCAAGCTTTTTTGAGGATCAAGCCTTCGGTACGAATCGAAAAGTCCTTCACCATTTTGCGATCTGAGGCTTCGTTATAGAGATATAAGCAGTTGAAATTTACAGGTGTGACTTCCTATTTATGTTCCGATCAGCTGTTTGTCCTATATACCATATAAATATTGAGTGGTTCCTAAGTGGACTCCTGAATAACGGACTTGGTGCGTTCCACGTTGTACAAAATTAGACCATAGGAAGTCGCGATACGCGAGAATTTTCCTCGTATGACACGACGAAGACATGACAAGCTGTGTAGATGATAAACGAGGAAAACAGGACATTTCCTCGTATTATATAACGCATTATTCTAGAATTACGTTATATAAATAAGTGGTCGCGTATTGTAGGAACTCGCGTTACACAGCAATTTAGTTTATATAAAAGGTTTTCAATAGGAGGTTTAGGATTTTGTTTTTTCATAAAATACAAACGGTGTGGATTGTACACGATTCTTTCATTTTAATGAAATTAAGTACGAACAATGATGTCGTTTAAGTGATCATCGCGACTACACTGATAGGCGTATTTTGTTATTGAAAAATAAAATTTTAAAGTCACTTTTAGAAAAGGTTTAATAAAATTTGAAAACAACAAAGTAGATTGAAACGTATTCCAAACATTCGAGCGATTGTATAGATAACATTCCGAAAATCATATTCGAGGCCAGTATTGGTTCATCGTCAAATATAACTGTCTCATAGCTGAAATAGAATGAATCATACGTTAAGACCAAATCTTATTGACTGTCCAGTCGGCAGAAGTCAACGTATACTCAGTTACTCGGTGGTCAATGTCCATTACCGTCAACCTTCGAACCCAGTTGTAACTTCGTGTTATTGCGAGGAATTGTTACCGAAATATATTATATTGTTACGATATAATACGATAAAAGGGTTGAAACTATATCTTTTTGTCCCTGAACAATTAATTGTGAATTACGTTGAGCACGAAAGTTATCCTGACTTATATTTTAATTTACTTATTTATAACGTTACACAATACTCCACGTATATTACTCAATTGCTTGGCTTGCGAAAGATTAAATTCGTGAAATGTGTCACGTTTATTACATAAAACATGCAGAGCGGTCTTATTTAGCTGGCCGCCATTGCATTTGTCGCGTGGTGACACACGTGATACAACGCAAAAAATTCAATACTCGTCAAAACGTACTTGTTCTAACTCTGTAAGACGTATCGTACACAAAATACAAAACAATTGTAAATCGCGTTACATGCGAAATATGAAAAAGAAAAAAGGGTGGCCGAGGCTAATCCCCGTTTCCCTACATTTATTCAAAATGGCAATGATGATAATAAAAATAATGAAATATGATCAGATTTTATATCAACGATATTTGTCTTTTTAGACCTCGTAGCGGAATAGGGCCTGAGCCTCCGCAGAGCAGCGACAGCGATGAATACACAGCGTCTCACGGCCATCAGCAGCAAGTGGGTCATGGCCACGGTCAAGGACAGGTGGAAGCGTGCAGCGTGCCCAAAGTCCACGTGTCGGGACCACCTAACAATGATGAATCCTCTTCCATCATCAATGGGTGAGTGCAGCATTTCTTTCCTTCTACTTCTGACGATGATTGTTCACCTGTTAATCTTTTTAATGGTTCTTATGCCAAACAGGTATATTTTAATGATGTTTTTATGTAGTTTAATGAGATTTTTTAAAGGGGGGAAAGCCACCATGGACGCATGATACGAAGCTTTGAATAATTTCAACATTCAACAAGTTTTATTAGAACAATTAATTTAACGGAAGATCTATTTGTTGAAGTTTATTGTACATATATAGAATGATAAACGAATAAATTTTATTTGGATTTCTAAAATAAAATAGCGATGTTGATAAAAATGTCGTTTTTAGCACAAGATTTACTGTCAAAAATGTCTGTAGCAAGAAATGTTCTGAATTCATCGTAAAATCCGTATGTACTTCTAAGGTATATATCACGTAGAAAATGAAAATGATTGATTGTTTTTATTTTTGGTCTAACCATACCTGAAAATTCCATTACGATAATTAGAGATTCATTCGAAGAAACTTGTCGTGTAATGGCATCAGCGACGTTATTTAATTTCAAATTGTGTATCTCTGAAATATGTTTTTATTCAAATAGTTACTTAATTATAAAATTCTAAGAGTATGTAATATTCCTCTGAGTCTGTGGTAGTAGAGACAATTTTGATAGCGTAAAATTTCAGTGATTTTAAAATATAAATACATACGTGAAATTAAAATCACACGTATATTGGAAACTAAGCTAACATAGAATTTAAATAGAAAAAAAAATTGAGAATAGTTAAACAATTCTACAGAGCAATGTAAATAGACAGCGAAAGGAAAGCATTGAACCATAACCACAAATACGTGTTTTGCATATTGCGAATTAAATTCAATTCAACGTTGGTCGAGTTTGGTTCCGACAAAGGGAAGCTATGACCTAGTTAAGTGCCTTTTGTGCGGAACGGGGGTTGGAATGTAGGGGTTGATGAGTATATACGGATTCTAGAGTCCTAGCCACTAATGGCTAGCCATTTGTATGTGCAAAACATGTTTCGAAACCAGAGATCAAACGAAACAATTAACTTGTACAATAACTAGTTAGTTTTAGAAAGCGATCCAAATAACAGTTACTATCGAATAGATTGACATGTTTGGCGTATGGTTTGTACCAATCTATAGATTTCATTATGTTTATTACTCTCTGTAGAGAGTATTTGTATTACTAAATAGGGACTAAATTTTTTAACAAAAACTCTGTGACTTCTCAAATACTATTCAGTCTCTTTTGATTTAACTATCGTGTCACGAACGTAAACATCGTTTTGTTAAATTTAATTTAATCAAATGTAAAATACGTATTACCCGATTGTATACTTGAAATCGGAATAGGATCCGAAACACGTAAGCGAGTGATTTTACTGTATCGCAAGCGTGAAAATTTTACATCGATTTTGATCGAGTATTTATTTCCGCTTCGACTGTTTGCTTATACTATTCTGTACACATGCAAAGTTTCAGCAGAATTGACGTGGAAGACTTCACGGATGTTCCTTGTCAGTCCCTCCTTTCGTAATACGCACGAGCGCGCCTCACAGATCAATTGTGTCTGACTCCCAATTACACAGTTCATACTCAATTGACCCTTTTTCCAAATGCACACTGGTCACCCATTACTCATATGCACGCCCGCCGCGCAAGGCCAGTGTGTGCCAAACTCATTAGGCACTGCAGAGTAGCTGCAAAAGACGAAATGTAATTGATATTTATGAGAATGTACATAAATTAATTATACGCTATTAATGTTAGCTGAAGTTAAAGTCGCTAAATTTATATTTAAAAAAAAAAAAGAAAAACTCACATTCACGTTAAGATACGACAACGCGTAACGTCTTGCGCTCATGTCATCTGAACTAACCGTATATATTGACGTCGATAAGATTTCAACGATACGAATAGAACCAACTCCTAACGTCAAGTGTTTTTAAAACATCTTATCGTCGCTGTGATGGCACTTCGCTTTGTTTGGCCTGCACGATACGGCAGTACATTTTTTGCAACGGCTGTATGTGCATTGTTCCGATATAAATAATTTTCTCGGATATGGGAATGCGAGTTCTCGAATCCCACCGTTACGTAACGTGGTACATGATGCGAGAGGTTGTGTCAAAGTATTAGCATATCACGTCTGATGAATTCTTTCTCAGCTTTTGAGATAATAGGAAGACAATTTAATCGTTTCGTAAAAGTTCGTCGAGAGTTTGTCATAATAAGGTATTAATTGGTAATGGAGGTTAATGGCAAGGTAAGACATCAGATAAACTGGCATTTCTAAAGCAGTATTTATACGATTGTTTTGAGCTTGAATGATTGTGTCAACATTATCATTGCATAATAGTGTAGTATAAAAATAAAAACGTGACAAAATTAAAGTTCAAAAACCAAATTATTAAACTAGCTATAACTTGCAGCTAGTATTTAATAAATAAATTTACTCAGAGTAATATATTTCTATTTTTCAATTCGGATTTTGTCTTTATTCATTTATTGCACACGTTCTTTCAATGTTCAATGTTCTCGTCTTTGCGATGTATAGTGGGACGTTATTGCATTCCAATATGCTTAGAAACTTCTGAAGAAGCGCTATGATATTTTCAGAAATCATTATCGATTTCGCATATCTTAATAATAGCTAATGATAACCCATAAGCGCGTCGTAGTAATTCTTTACTTCCGGAAAACGGTGCTTTTATGGTAATACGTTCGTGCGAAATTACATTAATGAATTTAGTCGCCGCGTTATGAATTATTAATCACTTGTGTCCATAGACACTTACTTGTTGAGTAGTTTAGAATTTGAAGTATCTATTGACGCGTAGTTATTTCAAATAAAAGCGTTGGTCACTTGATCATTTTATCGAACGTTACTACATGCCAGATAATAAACAGTTGTATTTTTTCATTCCATAAGTAATACCCGTGGAATTTAATTGAATTTTGGAATTTCGTATAATGATAATAATAATTGCAGAGGATGTTATGTAATTTTGATATAAAAGAAAACGTATTCGTATGTCTCGATATCCTTCGAAAGGTTAATTTCAAATGTAATTACTTTTTATTCAACAGTGACTCAAATCCGAAACGAAACGTACAAAATAAAGTTAACGTTGAGACTGACAAATACTGGTTCTTGTCTGCAGCGAATAAATTGGAGCGTGCAAATACCATAATTCTCGTTCGAGAGCAAAGAAATAAGTACCGAAACTATAAAAACAGCTTTGTTAGTTTGCATTCGCACGGAAAAATAGGAATTCCGCTTCCCCCCTCTTCCCGTTCTTCAGAACGGTACTTGCGTGTACACCGTTACACGTCGATGAACCGATTTCCCATTAGTAAATAAGCTTTCAGGATTGGTTACCTATTTTTAGAGCAACTTTTATATATCCAAGGCTGTGGGATCTGTTAATCTAAAAATACCCCGTGCGGAAATTCTTTTTTATGCGAGGTATTGATTCTTCCTACGGTCTTTCGATTCGCGAGGCATAAATGTATTAACGTCGGTTCAGCTTGGATTTGTTAAAGTGCGCCAAAGATAAAATGTTCTGCGACTGGACTCGACAGGTTGATGGATCTGTTCGATCCGTTAACCCTTTACCGGTTTGAGTACTCCCAGGCGAATGCGAAGTTTAACGTTGTTGTACAAGTACTCCTCTTGTAGACACGGGACGATACAGTGGATTTCCAAGTAACGCGAATTTCTATGACGTGTCTGAGATATTGCGGCTATTGTTTTCATACAGTTGAAAATTTTGTGTTCTTGTGTATAAAAATCCATGGATTAAATGTTTTGCGTTGATTATTTTACATAATTGAGTGCAAGCTTATCTAAAGCTGAATGCGTTATCTAGTCTCAACATACCTTTTGTGTTAAAATGATAAGAAGTTATAAATAGAACACATTTTTAATGTTATGTGAAGATTAATACAAAATAACGGTTGAGTAAATTTTCAGAATTTATATTTAGTTAGTCGTGAATTTATTACACAAACCATTTTTAAAACTACTGAAGTTTTGCAGAGGCATATATTCCCGTTTCTAGCTATTATAAAAAAGCATAGATTACTGAATCTATCCATGTGCTACAACACGTTTTTCATCCTGTGCAGTATCTTATCGTAAAGTACATACGGTATGTCGGGGAAAGTAAATTATAGTTGTAATTTCCAACGTATCACGTAGAACGAGGAGAATTAATTAAGAAACTATGCTGGTTTCTGTACATTTAGGTTATTCGGTGATTGCTTTTCATTCTCGTAACACTAATGAACACGCAATGGTAACTCTGTCTCAAATTAGAATATGTGAAACCAATTGGTTGCAGCACTCAACGCAATTGTAAAATTTGGTTAAATTGGTCATGTAATTAATTTTCGTTATTAGTATAGTTGTATTAAATTGGGTTGTATTATTAAGTTGTGGAAATAAATGTAGCTTATACAGGACAGATAATTGAAATCCAAATGTACGTGTTCTATATTTCCGTGGTCTTTAATTTTTTACATTACTGATTCATGAAATATTGAAGATCGAAGTGAGAATTTTAGAATGTTAATTATTTTTTCTTTACAAAACACCGATACCCTCTGTTAAATGCCAGATCCAATAACACTAGTTACAGTATAGTAGAATTTTCCAGTGCGTTACGTACGACAGATGGTTTTAATTGCTATCGATTATTGCAATTTCCCAGTACGGTGAATGATAAGAGAAACTGGAAAGAGACGTTCACTGCGTATCTAACACGCTTATGTCCTGTTTTGTTATTTATCCATTCGTATGTAATTGTCTGTACATTTCCTAGCGATTTTCGTAGTCTATGCATATGTCACGTCATTATCAGACATTCTGTTCTGTATTGTCGCGACATTTCCAATGAAAATGCTTCAAAGCATTGTTAGATTCAAAGCTCTTTCGTCGGGGGAAAGAATTATGGTAGAAAATTCTTTTTCCTTTTGAAGAAAGGAAAAATCGTGTTG